CGGCTCCCGAGGGAGCGTCGAGACAGACCAGCTTTTGTCTGTGGCCTGGCGTAATCTCCGCGGCCGGCAGCCAGAGCCGCGCTGGGGCGGCCAAATCCCAGTCAGATGAGGAGCTCAGTCCGCAGCTTCCCCGCTCTGGGGGCTGTTAGCCGCGGGGAGCAGCGGGCGAGTGCTGCAGCGGGGAGCTGCGGGCAGGCATGGCACCGAAGCGCAAGGTAATGGCCCGGGCGTTTTCTTTGGTAGCTGAAAGCTACAGCTGGCGGGTGACTAACGGGTACGTTTTCTGCTCTGACTTAAAGAAGAAAGTGCGTGTGCCCTGGTATTAAACATGGGAAAGCTCTCGGTAGCTACTGTAAGGCTTTATGAAAGTTGGACATTTCTGTCATGAAAAAGTCGTGAACCATTGAGAAGAATCCCAGTGGCTAGAGATGGAAGGCAAAAATCTGTGTTTTAATGCAATAATAACTTCATTTCTTTGGCACCTTTTATTCCTGTAGTGTAGTTTACTAAATTTTGCAAAGGAAATCAAATTCAGCCCATACTAAGAATGGAGTACCAGCCCCTGCTGAGAGGGTCTAGCACGCGCAGCAAGGTAAGCAGAACTGTCTTGGCCTCTGAAGATGGATCCTGCAGAGAGTTTGTAGCTTTAACAATGATGCACAAATGTGAAATTCTCTGATTGTTTCATGTTTCCTTTTAAATAAAAATACATTAGATGATCAGGCTTGTAAAGTTTTGTATTTTCCTTAGACACCTAGCTGTGTTAGAAAATGGAAGCTGTAAAAGCACATTTTCTGATTCTTATGTTTTACATTGAATGTAAATTGAATTTTGTTTGTGGCATTGTTTCTGAAATGAGGTGAAAGTGCTCGTAAACTGTCAGGAGTTAAGTAGCTTACAGAACAGATAAGGCTGTTGTCTGTGCTCTAAGAAATCAGGGCCCAAACTCCAATATGACACAACATGTTAGTGTAATGAGCAGACTGATTTGGGCAGGAAGACGAATGGAGGTGTCATAACAAAATGTAAGTTATGTGGTGTATGTTAATGATTCTGGCTTTTTTTGTTAGTTTGTTTGGTCTGAGTGTGCAGTGCCTATATTTACCACCTCTAGTTTTATTTTTTCTACTGTACTCGCTGCAGCCCTTATTTATTACTCTTAATTCATTTCTTTGGTTGTCATTCAGAGAAATACTTTTTATTCTCGGGAAACCGTAAGGAAATATTAATTGGATTTTGCTTTAATAAGATCAATTTCAACTTCTTCTGAACTTCAGTAATGAATGAAGGAAGTTTTGATGAATTATCTTCAGGAAAGACACAGCTCTTTCAGAATACCGTATAGCATCTGGAATAACTCAACATTTTTGGAAACTGGACCAAAAATGAGAATGATGAAGAACTAGTCTACATACCTTACAGTCAGAAATTCAGGGAGTACAAGCTTATAAAAAACCCTATATACAGCCTTTATCTATGAAGGAAGAGGAAATTTGATCACAGAAGTGCCTTTAATATAGGAGACATTGTTGTGTCCAGCTGAAGTTAGACAAAAAGATACTATGAGATGAAAGTAGGACCTAATTTTTAATGGAAGGATTGTTAAATATTTGAACTGGATCTTATTTTTAGTGCTATCATACTCAATAAAAAGTAGAGTCAAGAAGCATCACATCAGAAGGCCAGACTCTGTATAAACCTCTAGAGATCTTCTCTGACCCAGAGGCCTCATCCAAAGTATAATGTTTTATGACCAGTTAGACTCTTGAGATTAGAATGTATCATAATAGTGGTTTCTATTGACCTTAAAACCTCTGAGTCTGTGAATCTATTAATTTTAGTTCCTAAATATTGATTTAGGAGTGGAACTAGGTAATAAATATTGAAAAATTAAAAAATACATGCTAATAGTATTGAATACCAGATTAGATTGAATACTATAATCAGTGAACAATAGATTGTGATTTGAGATACTAAGGTTTAACACCTGCTAACTTGCAGACATCCAGTAATCAACTTAGGGACTTGCTGAGGGAAATAAAATAAGTGTTATTTCTCACCTCTCAGATGAAATGTGAGTCATAGAAAGTAGGATTTGGTTAATTATTATACTGAGTCATCGTGCCTCTAACGCCAAACATAAACAGTCCTAATATTCTTTCATAAAAAGTAGACATCTTGAGCAGCGTGGGTCATGCACAAAGCCTTTACACAGTTCAGTAAATATGCCGTCAGCGGTGCAATGGTTGTGTTGCCTATGCTTAATCTAGATATTTGTAATTGCTGCATCTCTGAAAGACGTTAGTGATCATGGCCAAAGTCAGTGTAAAACGTTTCTCGTGCTGCAGGTGTTTGAGAGTTTACGTAGTTTTCTAAACAAGTACTTTCACTGTTCAAAACTAAATACATGATAATATTTCACCATGATTTTCTCCTAGATATTATATGCATGTGGGTTCAAGGCCTTATCTCTTTTCATGCCTGTTACTCTCTTCTGTTCTCTAGTTCCCCAGCTGGACCTTGTTTCTGGCTGTTTGTGCTGTTGGAATTGGAGGGACCTTTCAGTACGGGTATAATGTTTCCATTATCAATGCACCCACCCAGGTAAAGTATCATCTCTTGTTCACAGGGTTGTTTTACAGTAATGGAGGTATCCTGTCTAATTGGCCGAGAGGCCAAATGCACTTTTACTGCAATCGCAGTGGGAACCAAGGCAGGCTTTCTCTTGTATGAAGGATTCTTGTTGATTTCCAAAATGGTTTCATGTGGATTTGTTTGTGAGTACCTCCATCAGAGGTATTCTGTGTCAGATAAAAGTACCAAATATGCCACATAAATACCTCTGTTAAAGTCTGTTTTAGAAGGATTAACTGAATGAATAAGTAACATCTTCCGGTTACACTTTTGACTAAAATAGCCCAGAATATTAAGAATAGAATAGAACAGAACATTTTCAGTTGGAGGGGACCTACAATGATCATCTAGTCCAACTGTCTGACCACTTCAGGGCTGACCAAAAGTTAAAGCATGTTATTAAGGGCATTGTCCAAATGCCTCTTAAACACTGACAAGTGTGGGGCATCGACCACCTGTCTAGGAAGCCTGTTCCAGTATTTGACCACCCTTTCTGTAAGCTGTCACCACCATTTCTCCTAATGTCAAGTTTAAACCTCCCCTGATGCAGCTTTGAACCGTTCCCACGCATCCCATCACTGGATAACAGGGAGAAAGGATGGTTACAGTTGTCCATCACAAGGCAGCTTACTGAGAAAGATCTTTGAGAGCCAAAGAGTTGCATCTGTAGTGTCTGAGTATCTCAGGTATTTTCACCTACTTGTTATGTTTGCATCCATTGCCATGGCCTTGAGGATTCTGCATGTTTTGTGGATGACTCAAGAGGGTCTGAGCAAATGGTCTTGTGAAAGGGATGGGTATAATTTTCTGCTGTCAGCTGATTTATTTTGTGAAACTGTGAAGATTGAATTTGCTACAACATTGCATGCTTTTTACAAAGGTTAAAAAAAGCTGTTTGTGAAAGAACGTAATATGCTGGAAACAGAGGGAGAATCCAGGAAGTCTGTTCTTCTGCTAAGTCTTTGTTTGCTGCCTAAGAACAGGAGCCTCTGATTACAGATACATGTCCGTTCAAGAGTTTCTGAAGACAAATTTTAGGAAACCAAGCATGTGGAATAACAATTTAAAAGTTCTGATAGATGAATACTGTAAGAAAGGCGGAGAAATACTAGAGTTGCAGAAAGAGATTTTACTATGAGTTGTTGCATTACACTAAGGGAGGGAGATTTAAACCAAGTGTCAGAGTGAGTCTCCCGATAGTAAAATTTGTTAGGTTATGTGAGACATCTGTGCTCTGAGATGTTCCTAAAAAACAGTAGGACTTACCCATCCACCCTGTCTCCCCTTCATTCAGAAGGACCTCAAAGCTCTGTTGTAGCAGTATATGGAAAGGTTATGTTTCTCCTCTAGTGGAATACAGCCTCTCCTGAGGTAGGGTACGAAAGCAAAGCTGCTCAGCAGTTTTTGAGATGTGTGGGGAGTAGCAAATGGTATTGTGGTCAAGGAAGATTCTGCTAGTCATCGGTGTTTTTAATATAATACAACTAAGATGATATCTTTTGTTAGCTCCCAGAATTGGTTTTCAGGATTGAGGTGCAAGTTATTTATAGTGCTACGCTGTAGGACTACACATAATGCTACGTATTCATCATTCTTTCCTATTGCAGCATATACACAGGTTCTTAAATGAAACCTGGACTGGTCGTTATCACAAGGAACTAAATCCAGATTTGCTGACTTTTCTTTGGTCTGTCATTGCTTCTATATTTTCACTTGGAGGCCTGTGTGGAGCCCTTATTGGAGGCAGCATGGCCATTCGGCTAGGCAGGTGAGTTACAGCAGCAGGCATATAGCAGCATGTTTTCCTTTCCTACTTTCTCACTGGAATATAAAGCAAATAAATGGAAAAAGAGTGGGAGAAAATGTACCTCAGGTGACTATAAATGTGTTTCACTTCAAAGCAGAGTTTTCTAGTAGAATTTTATGGTTTGTTCCAATGTGACTTTAAAAGATGAGCCCTGAATTATATATCCAGTCTAGTCTTTCCATTACATGTATTGAAATCTAAGTAGGAGTATGCACATACTGTATGGTAGGAAACACAGATCCCCCATACACATTTGCAGCCTTCATGCCAGGAAGAACATGCTGTGTAATCTGTAACATTTCATGCGCGTTCTGTATAGATACAGCATAAATGAACAAAACCCCACTCCTACCTTGTCAGGCATTTCTGTCATATTTATGCATTATCCTTATGTTTAGACTTTTTTTTTTTTACATGATTCTATAGTTGTATCAGGTACCTGGATTTCCAGTGAATAGGAGTATATTTTCTTCAGGATAAAGCCCATTTTTTCCATATTAACAGAAAGGAACACTTTTTAAAAAACATGTTATTGCAGATTTTCTTAATGTTTTTTTTTTTTCTCCTCTTTAGGAAAGGAGCTCTTTTGATGAATAATATTATAGCAATACTGGCCTCCATTTTAATGGGGATCAGTTTTCCTACAGGATTGTTTGAGTTACTGATTGCTGGAAGGTTTTTGATTGGCATAAATTCAGGTGAATGATTTCCTATTCCTACTTTAAATAAACTATGGTGAATGATAAATGATTGTTACTGCTGATTCTTTAGGTATTACGGTATGTGTTTGTACACTGCTTTGTAGATATGATGACAAAAATGTTCTGTAGTCTAACTTGGAATCTGAAGGCAGCTAAATTAATAGAGAAATTAACTAAGTCCAATTTCCTACATGTTTTGGTTCAGGAGTTCTTTTCAAAGCAAAATCTATTAATAGGAAAATGTTTTTCGATTTACTTGCAGGTATTGGGATCTGTGTGCAGCCTCTGTATATTGGGGAGGTTGCCCCAAAACATCTTAGAGGTGGCATGGCCATGGGGACTTCCATCTTTCTGACTGGGGGGATTCTGACAGGACAAATAATTGGTTTGAGGTTAGAAATGCATTTTTTTTCCTGCCTTGCATTACTCGCATTTAAAGAACTCCAATTCCCTGCAGCTCCCTGCAAAACACTCATTATGGCCATTGTAGCATTAGTAAATCAACTTCACACAGAAAGTCTACCTGTAAGAAGAAAACCCTGCTTTTGTCACCTTATTCCTACAACTGCAAACCATGTGTACCATCTCCCCAGGGAAGCATTCTCAGTTTAGATGGGTCAGCCATAACAGCATCAGTAAAACAGGTACATTTATGCTGAGCTCATATTTTCTGCCAGTTTCTTGCTGGAGACAGTGGATGTTCATAAGACAGAACTTCAGACTCATAATTTCTGTATTGTAGCACTACTGCTGGTTTTGTCCCTTGTGAGATCAGATGAAGTTGCAAGGGACTTTATCCAGTTGGATCTTAAAAAGTTCCAAGAACAAAGACTGCACAACGTCAAGATGAAAAGCTCCTTACATGAAGTCTGCTAGAAGCTTTCCACTGCCCTAAGAGCAACTGCTAGTACCCTGACTAACAGCACATTATCTGTTTTTTCTCTGTCCCTCTACCAAAAGCACTTAGACTTCTCTTTCTTTTTACTTACTAGTAACTTCTTTAGTAACTGATTTTGCTAGATACTTTAGGTGTGAAGTGCTACAAAATAAAGTAGAATATAAACTTCAGACTGCATAATCTAGGGTCAGTATTTAAAATGCAATACACTGTCTATTTCAACAAGTTTACATTGCCTACAACACATCATCCTGCTGATTCCAACTGTACCAATTTTAATGATTCCTTTCTATGCAGTACACCTCCTCGTTCGATCAACTTTGAATGGGAGGTGGGATCAGATGACTTTCTGAGTTCCTTTCTATCCTAAATTATTGTGTGATTCTCAAAAGCAGATGAAAATGCTGCTGCCGACCTTAAGGTGAAGTCCGTATGCTATTACTTTACCGCATCGCTAGAAAACACTGCTTTGGCAAAACTGAAAATAATGGTTAGGACCGACACAGCAATAAGCAGCAGTAAAGTAGTGTTGCTCATCTCTTCCTGAGTGAAACCTGATTTCAGAGTGGCTGGAAGATATTTTCCCAACCTCTTTCTGCTGAGGTTCACAAGATGTAGGTAACTGATTACAAGGGAACTTTTCTCGAAGGACAAACATCTTGCTCCCAAAAGTCTTCTGAATAGTCACCCATAGCTAATTACTTGGGTTTTTTTCCTTCTTTTTCCACACCTCTCCCAGGGAATTACTAGGTGGAGAAACTTATTGGCCTATGTTGCTATCCAGCAGCTGTTTCCCAGCATTTGCCCAGCTTTTATTCCTGCCATGGTTTCCTGAAAGTCCCAGATATCTTCTTATTGACAGAGGTGATGAGCTGAGCTGTGCCAAAGGTAACTTACAGCATTTATACTCTGTGTCTTCAGAAGTGTACAATGAGTATATTGGGTTCCAGATTCTCCTTTTCTCTTTCTCAGCACAGCACAGTTATATCGCCTAGTGCTTTTTGGCCCATGTTTTCCTCCAGTGAGCTTACATGGAAAAAGGGATTGTGGAACTCAGGAGTCTATAAAGGATTGTGAACAAAACTTCATTATCTCATTTCAAATACATGTTCATGTTTTCTCATTCTCTAATTCTCTAATGAAATCTCTAAAGGTTTAATAATTTTCCTCTTGGATGAAGTAACATACCTGAACTACTTAACCTCTCACTGGATTGTTAATTTCTCAGGTCATGTCACAGATGAATATCAGTTACATCAGGTATTTTCTTCCATTCTGTGATACTGTTGTACTTCTCCTATAAGAAATAACAAAAAATAATATAATAAAAAGGAGAGAGCTGTCCTGGTTTCGGCTGGGATAGAGTTAATTTTCTTCCTAGTAGCTGATACAGTGTTTAGCTGCCTGCTGGGTTAAGCCACAACAATAGCATAAGTAGCTGAAAAATTAGAGAGCTTTTTACTGAAAAAGAGGTGATGTTAAACAAGCGATTCATTGGCTATTTAAGCAGAAAACTCCTTATTCTCCATTTCTAAATATTTAGTTATCTTTTAAATACCATTTTCCCCCCTGTTATATCATGTGGGAAAACTATGACTTAAACTTTTTACTTTATCTTTGAGAGATCCTTGGTTGTTCTCCTTTTATTCAAACCCTACTCAAGAAATAACTGTAATGTGACAGATGTGCAGTACTGCATAAATGAGCAAGTGAAGTCTACACACTACAAGAAGAATGTGAAAGACAAAAATTCAGATTAGTTGTGATTTTCTTTATCCTGAAATTACATAGTTCTTTTTATACTACAAGAAGAAACTAAATATCACAAGAGATTTTTTTTCGCAATAGAATGCCAAAAGGAGACACCGAGGTAGCCATTTGTATCCTCACATATCGTGGATAGTAATTTACTTCCTAGAGAGACCCGGTGGAATAATACCAGAGAGTAAAGTATTAGTCACTATAAGTAAGCAGGTCTGATTCATTAATTCAGTTTGAAGGGCTGCTAAATAAATATGAAAAGACCCTCTCTAAAATAATAACTATCTAAGTAATAAAATTGAGAGCACAGAAAAACTTAAAAGAGATTCCAGTGTACAAATCTGGACAATAGAATACTCAATCACATATTTTTCAGAAATGTGTTCAGTGTTTCTACTTCTGCCTGGTATGATCATTCTGATGTAGTTCACAGTGACATAAATGACACTTGTGATCCCTGGATCTTCCATTTAAAATGCTAAATAAATGAGAGAAATGAACAAAGAAAGTTTACCTTGTTAGCATTTGATAGGGTTGTATTTAATTCAATTTTCATTGTATGCATAGATAAAGGAAAAACATTCCTTCTTTTGCTTTTCTTCTTTTAGTTCTTTTGAAGTGCTGTTGATGAGCATATGAATTTTTACCTATCTAGAAAAGGTATTTGTAGATGGAACAGCGTATCTTGTGGAAAGATCTTCAACAAAGGAAGTTAAAGAGGCTTCATTCATGGAAGCCTTTAGGCCAAGCTAAAATTTGTTAGGAATCACAAAAGAGGCAGGGTTCACAGAGAAAGGTGAAATCTTGTCTTGTACTGGGTAATTAAAAAACAAACAGACAAAGAAGTTACGTTTTTAGATAAAGCCATCTGTGCCTGCAGGCCTGTCTCCTTGCCCCCACCCCAAATTTGTCAGCTGATCTAATAAAAATACCTCTCTCTCTTACCTTGCCCAAAAATATTCATAGGCCATCACAACTGCAAAAGCACAGTAACTACAAATGACCTATAGAGTCAGTTCTGTCTAATTTGGAAGCCATGGACAAGATGACCATAATTTCCCTTTTGGATTATGATCTAGTTTGGGCTTCATTAAATGTAATTTTTTTAAATGTAAGTGAAGCTTGCAATCTCCATATCATATTCAAGTCTTTCCCTCTAAATTTTTTTTTAAATAACGTAATCATGGATTATATTTTTTGAAGAATTGTGGTTGCTCCTGAACTGATACTGAAGAGTGGCTAGAGCTTCAAGCTGGTTACGCTGTTAGTGATAACAATAGCATTGGAAAGTTCGCTTTCAGGATCATCAGAAGTTCTGCTGTAGCCCTTAAGTAGACAAAATTGTCACTTATATTTAATCTTGAAGATTTTAGAGGAACTGATGTTCTGTACTTTTAGGTTTCAGGAGCATTAGTAAAGATTTTAGTCTTGCATCCAAATGACTTCTGATAATACTTGCCTTAGAAGAATTACTTATCATCTTTACTCCAGTTCACTAAATGCGTTCCACTGGCAAAATTAAAGACAGGGATATAACAAAAGACTTGATACCTGCCTACAATTTTAGCAAAAGACTTCAAACTGGTTAGAATGTCCTTTAATGAAAAGACTATTTGGAGATCTGTGGTTCAGATATAAAACACTTCAAAATACTTTGCTTGGTGAATATTTCAAAGTCAGATATTCCTGTAAAAAAAGCAAAGTAATGCCACTGAAATCTCCAAATTCACCACAGCAAAAAATGCTGGAAAACCAGCAAGCAAAAAACAAGTCACAAAACAAGTGACTTTTTTCCCAGCTTCCTAAAGCAGGAAGTTTCCATATCCTAGCAAAAGCCAAGTTATTATGGAAAGAGATGATTTTCCAGAAGTTGTGGACAATAGGTAAATGTAAGAGAATTTATTTTCTTCTTTTTTTAGCTTTGAAGAGATTTCATGGTTCTTCAGAGTATCGAAGGGAGATGGAAGACATACAGCGGGAATGTTTTGCCTTAGATGGGGAGAAACCCAAGAAGCCCTGGCAATTATTCACTGATCGTGGTGTGAGATGGCAGCTCATTACTGTGGTTGTGATGACTATGGGCCAACAGCTCAGTGGGATAAATGCTGTAAGATTTCATACATACAAACAGCTTAAATAGTTACTTGATTTCCATCTGTTTTTCAACCTTTTATTAACACAAAGTATCCACATAGAGAAGCTCAGAGAAATGGGATAAGTAGGAAAGAATATCTTTCTATTATTTCTATGTTTCTCTTTTTTAAAATTTTTTTTTCATTTCTGTGTTTCTGGTATGTAAATGTCTTTAAAGAACGACTTACTACTTGTGTTTACATCTTCTAAAAAGTAAAAAAAGGTGGATCAGCTTATCCCATTGTGTCTGGTTTAAGAACGTGAAGTATTATACTCAGTAATTTGAATAATTGTATTTGCTTTTATGATAGCAATATATTTACCTAGACATGAATTTAACAGATTCTTCTTGCTGTTTACATCAAATTAATAACTCACAATATAAAATACATTGAGCTGTATGTTTAGTATGAACTTGACTTTGTTTCCAGCTGACGATTTAACTACCAGGAACGCCCCATTATTTTTTTTGTTCTTACAGATTTATTTCTATGCAACTTACATTTTTGAACAAGCTGGGATCTCAGCAGAAAAAATCCCGTATGTGACACTCGGCACTGGAGCTTGTGAATGCCTCACAGCCCTCACCTGTGTAAGTAACAGTTTATTCTACCTCCTAGTATAGAGAGTAACAATTCTTCTTGAAGAACAACATTGGTAAATATGAGATCAATATAGTAACAGAAAATTATGTCTTGTCCACAGGGTTTACTGATAGACTACATGGGAAGAAGATATCTCATCATTGGGGGTTATCTCCTTATGACCCTTTGGAGCATTGTTTTAACATTCTCTCTGACTTACCAGGTGTAAAGAAGGACTCATTTATATTACATGATATGACTATAGTGAGTGAAAATCTGTGACATCCAAAAGAAGCTGGAAGATAAGAGCTGCATAGGTTTAAACAGCAGCATAAAAAATGACAGCAATTGAAAGATTTGATCAATTCTGCAGCCATATTTCCTTAAAATAAGAGAATGCTCTCAGCTAAGATTTGATCATGTATTTGTCTTAAAGCTGCAGCTGTGTTTAATGCTGACAAAACTAAGTGATGACAAAACAGCGTTTATTCTAGCTTTTAAAGTAATTTTAGGATGAAATACTACATAGTGATGATTTAAGCATCAGGGTCCACTTCAGTCACTTAATTGTAAAGCAAACAATCAAACAAAAAATACTGTGAAGATGCTGAAATTCAAAAGACACTTAAATCCATTAAGTGTAAATTCACAAAAACTATTGGAAACTCACGAGAGATATTCAGTGCCTTAAATTTATCATGCAAAGACAACATCCTGCCTCGCTTTTTGTAGTATAAAGAGATGCATCGTAAATTGTTCTGTATACTGTATCAGCTCAAATAAGGCAGCCCCACAAACCTCCTGAATTGAATGTTTAGAGGAAAACTATCTCTACGTTTGCAGACCATACTGTACTAAATATTTATCGGATAATCCAAGCAAGATACTATAGGTGTAGCTCCAACAGTAAGCAACTCGATTTAGTAAGTATTTGTTGCCTGATAAATCCTTACCTGACAAAGATAGGATTAAAGAGCTGCAATTCTTTCCTTATCCATACCATCAGTGTTTTAAACAGGCGGATCACGTGCAGTCACATTGCAGGTCTGACATCAGTAGGGTTAGGGGCTGCACAGATTGGCAAGCAGGCCACTGAAGAGGCACCTACAGTAATTTCTGTGTGGTTGGAGTAAAGTAAAGTAAGCTGCTAGGCCAGGCAAAAAGTTGAATGAGCCAGCTGTTAGGCAGAGGCCTAGGTTTAATTATTTGATTGTAACTTTTGTAAATTTCTTGGTTTGCTTTTGAATAATAGGATTTCAAGTTTAGGTTTGGTCTTTCTAATGCACCTAGTTCATATGTATATAGTAATCCTAATGTTTCCTTACTGCACTATTGAGATTTATGTATACATAAATAATGTGATGATGAGAAGTCTGTTCATGCTATGAAAGTGCTTAATGACAGCTAACTCATGGGATCAGTATAAAATACCAAAATAAACACTTCCAAAACATTAAACTAGTTACAATGCATAATTGTTATATTCAATTGGTATAAATTTTTAGCCTCGGAGGACTAATTATAAATCTTGACAGAAGTACTAGACTCCATTTAGTAAAAATTATTAAATGAACAGTATTTAATTTCTCTGAAGCAGTACTGTTAAATAAAGTAGCTGTAAACAGCCATGAATGACTGTTGGTCTTAGTTGCAATAAAATAGCAAAAGGAAATGTAACTGTTAAGCCAAACTTTAAAACTGGATTATCAAAATCTGAACTAAACCTTCTCATTCTCTTTTGTTCCAGGAACTGTACTCATGGGTGCCTTATGTGAGCATGACTTCTGTATTTGCCTTCATCTTGAGCTTTGGGTTGGGACCAGGTATTACACAGTAATGAATGTTTTGAAGTGGCGAAATAGTGTCTGGGGCCGGGGGGGAATGTCAGCAGCTCTGCTAAGCCAGGCAGTAAGTATTTACTGTAAGGCTGCTGATGCTCTGGCTAAGGAACACAAGTGAGCCCGTCTCATCAGAACAGATTAGTCTCCCATAGCCTGAAACTGAGCAACACAATTTTTCTGGCATTGGAAATACCACAAATGGACATTTAGCATAATACCTATTCTGTTTCTGAAACTCGTTCCCGCAGGTGGCATAACAAATACCCTGACAGCTGAATTATTTATACAGTCTTCACGTCCTGCTGCTTTCATGATAGGAGGGACTATTAGTTGGATTAGTTTCTTCACAATTGGAATGCTCTTTAAAAAAAAATAACGCATTCTCCTGATTGCCTCACCTCCCATTTAATCTTCTCTGAGGTTCCATCAAATTGCTTTTTCTTATACAGTAACACTTAAACATAGGATCCACACTACCCCTCAACCGAGTATAACTCAATTCAGTCCCTCTTAAAATATATTCTAGATATCAACAAAAAATAATAAAACATGATAAATGAAAATTAAAGGAATGCACGGGGGTAATTTTCATGTTCAGATTAAAAAAATGGAGAAGGTATCAAAACTAGAAAAGCTTAATCAGATATTGAGATTCAAATAACACATTTCTTTATAGTGCCTTGTGTTTTTATGTCAAAGTAAAGTAGAAGTAGTATCTGGGGCTAGTGGTTCAACATCTTGTCTGAGAGCTCACTAAACTTACATACAGAAGGTTCTGTGATCAGGAAGATTATTAGGAAAAACAACATAAACTTTCATTTCTAGCTTTGTATTTTCAGTTTTAGCACTTATTCTTGAAAGCGAAACATGCAGGAACAGCACGCAGCAGGGTATCTTGATTTGACAGTCCTTTCTTTTTGAACTCTGCTTCTCAATAAGATACATTTTTTTTAATGTATGGCATTGAAAAATATTAGTAAACATTCAGAAAAAGATAAATCATATAATCTTAAAATATGTGACAGCTAAGTAGCAAATGCTGACTTGTCACATTACATTGTGAATTGTTTAGTGTGTGTTCAAACGGTTTATATTTTTCTTTTTTTATTAAAAGACTACACGTGTATTGCACAGCACGTGGTAGTCTTTTATCTAAAAAAAAAAATTACATGTAAACTAAGGATAGGTTAAATGTCTTTTTATTAAAAATATCTGAGCAGCAATGTTATGTGTGTGACTGGAAACAAAAAGCTTTTTATTTTCTGAAACCCACTGTTACACTTGAAATGTGTTGCAATCAAATACATTTCATTTTCAGAATGGACTGAAGCAGTATTGTTTTCTGGTGTTCCTACTGGAGTGCTCCTTAGTTGCTGCTTTCCTCTTCCTCATAATTCCTGAGACAAAAAACAAATCTTTTCTGGAAATTAAAAAGGAATTTCACAAGCTTAATTTTGGAAGAAATACAAAAAAAAAGGAAACGGAGCTTTATGAAAGAAGACATGATGAATTTTAAAAAAATTCTGTGTAATTTCACAGCTGTAACAGAACTTTAATGAGAATTATGAACAGCGTCTTCTAGATTAGCAGTGTAATACCATGAACAAGTAGGTTATTAAATCCTCCTGTACATTTAGAGGAAGTTTAATTAAAGGCAAGTTAATCTTCCTGAAATGCTATTAAAAACATACTATATTATACATAGAAGATTCGATGTTTAGATACAACTTGATGTTGTAGGGATGCAGAAATGCCAGGAGAGGGTGTTCAATGAATTCCTCCCCCCTGGCAGATCTCTTCAGATAATTTACTAGCTCTTCTTTTATTTCTAAGCTCCTTCTTCAGATTCGGGTAATCAAGCATATGTTATTGCTTTACTGAATAAAATATTCTGGGGCGTTAAAACCCAAACAAGAACTGACCTATTGAGAAACTGATATTCTGGTTTATATATAAATTGGGGCATTTAGTTGCTGTTTTTCACTTAAATAACTTCTTTGAAAGATTTAAGGACATTTCTCAGCTAGTCCTACTACTGTAACTGTACAAAGACCGTACAGAACCTATCTGAATTACTGCTATTTGTAATAAAGTTTATTAGAAAGAGTTGTTTCCTAAAAGTGACCTAATAAAACAGTTTCTGGGGTTTGAGTTTGGGTTTATTTTTTTGCCTTAACCTAGCATCTTAACATTTTAAACTCTGCAACGGGGTAAAATCTCTTCTAGTTTTGAAGGTCAATTCCCGGCAGCCTGAGATCAACATCACAAAAAGCACTAAGTAGCAGAGAGGACAGATGATAGGAATTAAATACATTTCACTGTTAAAGATTTTTCAAGATGGTCTGATAGTACACACACAAGGAGACCACAGAGAGCTTGAAGGACCTATTGAATGAGCTTTCTGCTTAATCTCCAACATTTCGTCCAGGACTCTTTCTCAACTTAAAATAAATGCTTCATATTTTAATAGTCAAAAAGTAAGAAATCTTAATTACTTAATGTGTTTGCGTGTCTCTCTTGATACTCTTTTCCATACGTGTAACTGCTAGGACAGTAGTCCTACCCTGCCCATTACAACTTTTCCTGGTTGTAAGCATTTCCTGACTCCATCTGTTACTTAATAAGTGCTACAGTAAGCACTGGATTTCTTTTACGTTTATCTTCCTTCTTTCAGAATTAAAGCTTTTAATGAAAACGTAGGAAGCAAACATAATTTTTCTGATTTTTTTATTTTTCTACTAAATCAGCTGTTTAATTGAAAATAACATTAACTCTTACTGGTAAAGGAGGCAGTATCAGGAAGGGATCTTCTTGTTCTTTAGTTTATCCTCTAAGTTTGCAAAGTACTTCATTTTGGCTAGAAGCTTCTTAGCTTCTTGAAGATCATCTGAAATGAAATAAAACATTACTAGTTTACAGAGGGAGGGCTGAATTTTCATTTTCAAAATGAATCTCGAGATTTCAATGACAGCACCTGTTTCAGTACCAAGAATTGCAAGTTGTAAGGACCCATACACTATTAAAACCATGTTGCCTATTATTTTCATCGCGGATGGTTTTGGAACACCTCAACTGAGGTGTTCCATAAAACATGTAAAAATGTACAATTTAGAAAAGAAATGTGACATGAATACCCTTTAATGACTTTTCTATAAAGTGGCTATAGTATTGATGTAGCCACTGGGGAATTTTAAGTATATAGACAAGACAAATTTTTTTAATGTATGTAATTAGACCACCTGCCATCACTGAAAAATGCAAAATACTTGTAGGACTCTGGTACGGTCAGCTCTAAAACTGATATTGAAACAGTTTCTCTTTAAATAATTGGAGGGAAAAGGTGGTTTATCACCTACTGACAAGGTTAGATGCAACACAATCCTTAACTCTCGTAGTACAAAGAGTGACATATTACAAGGTTATAATTCTTCACATACTTTGTGTTTGACTTTTTATAATTGCAACACGCTACTACATAAACCTAACAATAAAAGCATTCCAAGACCCAGGAGAGAAATGTGAAGGTTTCTTCCCAGAGTAAGAAGCTAGTCTGGAATGGTTCAAGCTCCTGCCTATCTACTGGTTGTAGAATAAAGTTATGTTGATTATTGCACAAGAAGTCCCTAAAACCTGAGGCTAAACGGGACATCAGGTCTTTCTTGCCATACAGCTTCAGTGGTAAGCAGCAGAATTGTTCCTGTCTTGACGTTCACTGCAAAGAACAGCACCTGCTACTCTGTTGACAGCTTCAAGTCTACAGAGCAAGATCTCCCAAATTCAAGTTTGAATCCTCAGAATAGTGGTAAGTTTGATTAAGAAAAGAGTCTGTTCTTTCCAGTATTCTGGGAAACAAATGAAAAATTCTTAGCATCTGCATTCACACTTGAAGCGATCATTTTGATGCAAATTGAATTAACTGGAACTTTTGTATTGGATTTTAATTTTTTTTTAAAATTTAATGTGAGGTCCTGAATTTCCTGAGTCAGCAGAAATGTCAGCTTAGAAGTATTTATTCTAAATGCCAAACAAAGAACACTTGTTTATGCAGTATTTCTGTTCTGTAGTTCAGGAAATATTTGCCAATAAGAGAATGTAGGTTTTTTAAGCATATGTAACTGATATGTATGGCAGCTAAATACTTCATAGAAATAGCTACCTCTTTCAAAAGCTGCAGTCACCTCTTCGGTCAGTTCTTCTTGTTTAACTGTAAAACAAATTATTTCATTCACATTTTGTTACATACTTAGTATATTTAATACCACTGCATTCTGATTGTCTGTGGTGGGAAACTTAATTACTAGTCTTACAGTCTTCTGGGAGCTAAGAGAGCTTTCCGTAACATTGCTGTCAATTTTTTTTTACATTGTAATTTCACACAGATATATTTCTTTGTTTAAACAGGTTTACAGACAGCAATTCCAATGCAAATCAACGTTCACTAACTTCCCAGAAATCTAACTTACTTTTGGTGTATCAATTTACCCCTGCTACAGTTAATTTTCTTCTATTCTACTTAGTTTTTATTCTAGTTATTCTAATTGCTTTTGGCACACTATGTTATTGTAAAGAATTAAATATACCAACAAACTCAATATTTTGGGTATCACCAACAATATAAACAAGAAAGTTGCTTGTGTAAGGATAATAACGACTTAATATAATGGTTGCTAAGTTGAAGAAGGTGAAAGAAATATGTTTGTATAAGTGAAGAAATGACTTAATGTTGTCAGTCAAGCATTTTATTAAACTTCATTTTGAGTGGTTCGTTCTTTTAGAACAGGCTACTTGCCCTGAGCTGCTGAAGGTTGAATAAGAAGTTCCTTTTTATAGTCCATATATATATATATATATATATACACACACCTATTTTGCCATCAGAATAGGTACTGTTATACAGATTTTCTCAAGCCAGATTTGATATTTAGGTGGCATAAATCGGTAAAGACGACATTGTTTTTGGGGGGGAAGCTCTTGCAGTGAGTCAATTCAAGACTAATGCAAGTTAGAGATACTAAAAGGAATACATTGAAAAAGCCTTCAGAGAGACTCTCGTATTATACAAGATACAGTAAATTAGTTCTGTACAAAACCCTCAAATCAAAACCTACCTTTAATTAAAGTTTCAATGTCTTCAAGGATAGCCTCATTTTTAGGCTCTGCTAATTTCTCATTAATTTCCATGATTTCTGTGAGAAACACTGAGTCTGCATCACTGTCTGTCTCCTGCGTCGGCTCTACTCCATTCAGCTCCAGCTGGTGAAGAAAATGGGAATTTGGAAATACAAATTCTTACATCTATTTCAATGTGAATTATTTTCTTGACTATTAAGGCTTTTAGTAGGGCTCACTCAGATTCATATCTAATAAACTTCCGGTTTATTCCATGAAACATGCATAAACAGAGTCAGTCTTAAAATTAACAACATAGGTAGACCATAAAAATCAGCAGTTAACCAAAGCAAAAAAAATGTAACGAAGGCTGCAAAGGCCAGACTGAAATTTCAAAGGAACAGCCATGGCCAAACACAATGTGTGATGCAGGAAACAAATCAGTGTAACATGAGCAGCAAATGAGATGGTAATAATCAGTAAAATGTTAAACAAAATAGTGGAAAAGCTGGTTAATTTTCAGACAAGCTTGTTTTCTGTCTCCCTTCAATCCCTGATAATCCTCTTCTTCAGAGGAACACAAATTGGCATATTTATGATGGGAGTCAAAGGTCTGATTCATTACATCAGCACCAGCAGCCCCAGCCACCTATGATTAGTTACAGGAGTATTGAGAAAATACATAATGGACACCTTACTAGATAGAGGCCGCGGCTCAAAGGGTTCAGGAGGGTTTGGTAGGCCTTGTTAATCAAGGAAGAGTGTTGCTCAGAGTAGTACTGTTCTTTCTGCAAATGGACGATAAATAATAGTAACGAGTTAACAAGTGGCAAAATACGTTACGTTTTGTTACCCGCAGAGAAATAGTGTTCCCACAACAATATGTGTGTATAAAACTGAAAGTTCATTTTTAACAGGGATACCAAGAACAGGGAGAGGGCTATTTGGACTTGCAAACTGTGTCATCTCATGCAACTAAGATCTCAAGAACCACAGCAGCCCCTTATCGTCATCCTCCGCCGCAAACCTGTGAGCAGAAGTCTCTTGCAATCATCACGAAACAAAAACTGGAGAGCTCCTATACTCCCAGAACAGGAGGGCGGCGG